CCAAACCAGCCCGCGGGATAGTTCCCAACCATACTTCGCGCGGACGGAACCGCGTACTCCCAATGGGGGGGCAAGCCTAACCCACGCACTATGTTCAAAACGTCCTGGTACCCGTAAATGGACGCGTGATCAGGTCCCCTAAGAAGATTGTCACTAGGCGCGCGCTGATCGCCCCACATCTCCGCCCAGTCAATCACGGTGTAAGCCGCGCCCACACCTCGGAAGCCCAATCGGCTCATCGCTTCAGTTACGCGCGCGGTGCATCGCGGTTCTGACTGAGTATCGGACCCTTCGCGCCTCTCCGAGTCAGCCACCCCAGATGCACCGCTGCGAGGCCGCCGGATAATCAATACCCCACGCGCACCGGCGCTCGCCTGGCCACTCCCGGACGCAATGATCCCCTCGTCGGGTCCCCAGTCTGCATCGACGTCGAGCGACGGCGACGCCGCCGAAACTACATCGCCACCGTTGGCTCCGCCGTCGTCCCCATGCCCAGAATCATCCAGATCCGGCGAAGGATCGGTAGAAACACGTGAAAAAGAAGAGGGATTACCTTCTTCGCCCTGCACGACCTCGGTCTCGTTGATGTTGGTGCTATCCATTATAATACTTCGAATCAGCAACAGCAAGATGAGAATCGAGGTTGTAAAAGAAGGAGAGGAATCCCAGAGACGGCAAGAAAGCACAAAGAAACAAACGAAATTTTTCTTTCACGAAAGCAAAGTGAGTTCCGACTTCTGGGCAGAGATGAGGTATTTATACACGACAACGGAAAGCTCAAAGGTTAAAGTTGCATCAAGAATCGCAACCGTCAGAGCCTTTTTCAAATTTCAAAACGGCCGCTAAAACCGACCAACCGCACACAGACACGTGGCAACCTACCATCCCTAGGCACTAGCCGCTGACGTCATAGGTTCCGCACAGCGCCTGGGGGGCAGGATACACCCACAAAGGAAAAAAACACGCTCAAAAATAATACCAACTAGGAAAGCGTCACGCACAACCAACCCAGGAGATCTCGGACACTCGCGGAACATCACACTGGGGGGGGGGGGGGCAACGCGAAGACAGAGGCTTCACGCGCAACCAACCCAGGAGATCTCGGACACTCGCGGAACGTCACCGATGGGGGGCAACGCGAAGACGGCGCGCACAACCAATCCCGGAGATCTCGGATGGACGGGAATCGGGCGACGGATGCACCAGTTGTGCGCGCAACCGACGATCACGCGAAGACCAGAGCAGACACTAACTTACCCAGATCGCGCCAATCATAATCAACAGGCAGAATCGCGCAGATCCGAGTCGCTCGCATGAAGATCAAACAGGCGGCATTCGCGGAATACCCCCTGATGGGGGGCAATTGTTGGGGATATGACTCGGATCTCAACACGCCGAAGAAATACCCAAGGATGCTCACGTCAAAGCCAACGCGCGAGTCGAGCCAGGGCTAAGCGCGAGTGTAGAGACCGGCCCTAAGGACCGCGCATAGACGCCAAACGACGGCGCTTTGGACAAGCACGGGCCCTCACCGAGAAGTTGTAGAAGCGGCGCCACGTCACCCGAAGGGTAGTCAACATCATAGTCCTAGGTATAGTCATGGCAAGGGTCTTGTCACCCATAGGGATATGGTCTTTGTCCCTGGCATGTCAGAGGTCATGTCACCGTACCGTAGTGGTCACGTCATCGTACCGTCATGTAACTCACCCACCACCATGTAGCCTATAAATATGGCATTTACTCCGGTGGGTGAGGAGATCGGATTTTTCAGACTCTATCTCTAAGATCATCACTTTCTCTCACTAAACACACCCTCTCTTTCGGCTCTATCTTCCCTCTCATTTGTCTCAAAGTTCTTGTTCAACCAAGCCGTTCATTCTTCTCGACCCATTCTAGTGAACCTCACTCCTACACTCAGTTAGGTTCAAACAGTAATATATTACAAAAATAGAAAACGACTGGGATTGCTGAGAAATGGCGCAACGAACCAATGGAAATTACATCTAGCCGCTTCCCCAACAAGAACTCCTTGGCTTCCCCGATCGTATTAAGTTATAGTACATGAACATATATCCATTAATTAATAACCCTTTGTTCCTCATTCCCTCCCAACTTTATAAATACTGCACAATTCTTTTATCCATATAGCAAAAACTACCTAACAAAGCAATCGGTTAAAGAAAACGTGAGAGGGAGAAGTCTACAACTTGCTTGCGAGTCAAGGTTTGAAAATCCAAGATGTAGAGGAGTGGTTTCTATGCTTGTAGTTTGTTCAGACGAAGAAGTCAGTTAATGAAGGAGTTCAAGCCCTATGAATTTCACATCAGTCTGGAGAAAGAGACCAAGGTAGAGGAAGAGGAGGTAGAGGCTGGAATAGAGAGGTTGTTGAAAGTAGAGTTATTAGGGAGGTTGCTAAAATGCTACAAGCGCCTCACTCACTGTGGAATGCTACAAAGAACTAGCCTTTCCATGTTTCTTCATCTTGATGAGGCCAGCTGCTCTTGATGATGAGGTCAATAATGTCAGGGAAAGAGCTAGTAACTTCAAGTCTTCAACCATATTCATCAGTATAGCCCGGTGCCCTACATGTGGCCGTTGTACTTAGGGGTGACTATACGGTTCGGTGTGGTTAAACTGGTCCAAATTGTCTGGTCCAGTCCGGTCTTTTTAAAAATATAAGGACCAAAGATTGGATTAGATACAGTTCGGTCTTGATCCGGTCCGATCTTGACCCGGTCCGGTCCCAACTCGATCTTGATTTTATATTGAGCTTGTGGGGTTTTGAGTGTCCTAAGGCCTGAAAGGATGAGGAGTTGGTTAAGTTTTGTACTAAGTTCAAAGGTTTGGGACCGTTTATACAAATTAGCCTTAAGTTTTGGGTGTTGAGCTCTCTTACCCGGTCTTTATCCATTTTTTAATTCGGTCCTGGACGGTTTTTCACATCAAATCTAAGCCCAAAAATTGGATTGGATTGTTTACTATCCGGTCTCGGTCCAGTCTCGATCCGGGTTATACGATCCAGTTTCGGGTAAAACCAATAAACTCGGACCAAATAGCCAGCCCTAGCTGTACTAGCATTGACCGAAGATATGATCAGTGTTTTCTTTGTCATTTTCAAATAGAACGCATCTGCACTTGTCTAGTCTTAGTCTAATACAAAAACAAATACCATGTAGTTCCGTACACTATGCTTTACTTTGTGGCCAGTTATTTACTTTTATGAATCGCTATTTGCCGCCCGTAGTTTTACTATTTGCCGCCCGTAGTTAAGAAAAATATGACGAAATTGCCCCCCACCTCATTTTAAAACCCTAAACCTATCCCAACCTAACCCTTCACCTCCAAACCTTCACCTTCCAAAACCCTCACCTGCTGCTGCCCAGAGAATCCCGCCGGCCAGCCACCACCGCCGCCGCCGAGTAGCCCACCGGCCAGCCACCTCCACCGCCCCCTGCCGCCGACGAGAAGCCCGTCGCCCTCCCTCCTGCCGACCACTCCTCCCGCAGCCGACCACTGCCCAGAAGCTGCCGAGCAAAAGCCGCCGCCGAGCCCAAGAGTCGCCGCCGCAGGTACTTTTTTTTTCTTCTATCCGCTGTACGAAACGCCGGAGCGGACGCGGTCCTCCAGGCCGGAGCGGATGCGGTCCGCCAGGCCGGAGCGGACGCGGTCCGCCAGGTCTGGTCGGACCCCTCTGTTCCCGATCTAGTCGGACCCCGTCTGCCCGGTCTGGTCGGACCATTCTGATTCGGTTTAAAATAAATATTTATTAGATTTATTTTAAATACAATTGTTAGTATCTTAATTAGTTTAATAATGATAGTTATATAATTAGTATATAATTGTTAATTATATAATGTGTTAGTTTATTAATTGGTCAAGTTGAAATAAATATTTAAATAACTATCTATCATATTGAGTAAAGTAACTATCTAGTTAATTAATTAGATAACCAAGTTGTATGTATCATAATTAGTAATTGATAAATTATGACTATGAACAAACTGCTAATCAAATAATGTAATATAAGAGATTAATAGATAATTATTGACTATGCTAATAGATAATTTATTATAATAATTATCTAAATAATTATTGGATTAAATAAATTGTAAATAATTTTTAATTTTAAATAATTATCTATAATGTTTTAGTTAAGTAATTGAGTAAGTTGAAATAAATATTTAAATAACTACCTATCATATTAAGTAAAATAACTATCTAGTTAAATTAATTAGATAACCAAATTGTATGTATCATAATTACTCTATGAAACAACAAGTAATTGCTCAACAAATAATTTATTATAAGATATTAATAAAAAATTATTGACTATGTTTAGAGATTGCGTCACCTGGTAATTCTAGAGGATCACGTAGTTCTGGAGGAGCTGGAAAGAGATTGAGAAGATTCATTGGGCGCCCCATTAGCGCTAGTGCGAGAAATAGGGACCCAAATGATAGAGATGAGCCACAGCCACAGCGAGTAGTGACACCGATGAGTTTGAGGGCCGACGGTTTTCCTCAGTTTGATTTTCAGATGCCTAGTAGGGCTGGTGCCTGGTAGTGGAGCTGGTCCCAGTCGTGATCATGCTTCACCGTTTGAGCCTTCAGATGATATTGATGACGAGTCGCAGGAGTATGAGTCTGATGCTGTTGAGTATCGCATTCCACCAGTCAGTCTGTCTAGGTGGTACAGAGGATTTGGTTTATTGGGTGTGGGAGCTTTGACTCATTTGCAGCAGTCTGGTCCGCCAGCTAGAGAGGCTCAGTGTTACCTTCTTTTGCTGCTTGGGTCCACACTGTTCATAGATAAGAGTAAGGACCGCGTTTCTGTTGTTGTCAACTTGTTTGTGAAGAGGCCGGATATGCTAGGAGAGTACGCATGGGGGGCAGGAGCACTTGCTTATCTGTACAGGAGCACTACATATGAATTTAACTATGTAAAATATAAATAAAAGCAATAAATTAAATATAAATTATTATCCCTAGAATTAATAATATGTCTCAAATTAAAAAAAAAAACAATGCCCTATCGCCGTCTGCTTGCCGGCGTTGGACCCCATCCTCCCGCCGGCGTCGGACTCCGTCCGCTCGCCGGCAGGCAGACGGTGTACGATGCCGGCGGGCGGACGAGGTCCTACGCCGGCAAGCGGACGGGGTCCGACGCCGGTGAGCGGACGGGCAAAAAGTTTCAGGAGGAGGTCGGTCACGGGGTTTACCTGATTCGCTGGTCCGACGATGGGGCGTGCTGCCGTCAGGTGGCCGGCGAATTATGCTGACGAGATTGGTCCGATGGCCGGCGACTTAGTCTGCCGTCCGGTGGCCGTGAATCTGGCTATGGTGTTTGTGGGGGGGTTGGTGGTCGGGACTCGGGTGGTGTGTATGTTGTTTAAGAAACCATTTCAGCGAATAGAATATAAAGAAAAATTTTGAGGGCAAAATTGTCTTTTTAGTGTTTTTTACGGACGTCAAATAGTAATTATCCGGTCGGCCAATAGTAACCCTCTTACTTTTTCATGCGTTCATTTGTGACGAGATGCTCAAATAATAAATAAATGTATTATTTATTTATTTATATTAATTAAGTATGTTTTTCTTTGCCGCATGTGGTCATTTCGACATACTTCCAACCAGCTCCGAGACTAACAATTGAAATACTAACAAACTCGTACGTACATAAGCTAGCCCGACGAGACGAATATGATGATATTGCATGTATCGAAAAATACCATTGATATTCTGTAAAATTCACACATATATAATCTCTTGACAAATTAAAAGCAAGTACAAAGAAATCCATCAAGTGAATAAAATCAAGCTGCAGTAACTAACTAATAAGACCTCTTTCGCGCGATTCCATTGGATCACTCACTGACTTGCTTCTTGGTAGTGTCGTCGATAACCATCACCATCGCCATCTCCGGCGATAACTTCTTTTTCTCCTTCCTAAACTGCAAGACATGTGTAATTTGAAAGAATAATTAGAGTAAAAACAGGTATTAGTAGGGTTACATGCAAATGGAAGAAATCCCACAATATAAGGGTTGGGAAAAAGAATTCCCACAGCACAATACTTCGGAAAAAAATTATCAAAAATACTATAGTTTGGAGCAGTTTGAACCACTGTCAAGTAGGTAGTGGTTCGCTCGACACTGGAGTGATTCACATCTGAATGGTGCGGATCATGGACAGGACAATTGAATTATTCTAAAATCACCAAGGTTGGCGGCTGACCCCATCGAACCACACTAGATCACCGTCAAATCCTAGATCAAAACTACAAGCGATCGTAACTTTAGTCTCGATTATCCGATCTTAGTGAATTTTTTTTATTTCACATAACTTTTAGAGATCTACAACTTTTACTAGGAATGAATTCCCAAAATAAGATATTTTTTTTTGGATTTAAGAGGTTTTGGAAATAACTATAGATTAATTTTCACATTTACACATGCGTTCTGAAATACTTCTATAATAAATTATTTTAGTCTTTAAAATTTTAAGCAAAAAAAATTATGATGATCGGATTGCATAGCACAAAATTACTATCTTTCAAAGTTGGAAAAATCGAAAAATTGCCCTTTTTGGGTAGCAAATCTTTTTTTTTTTTTTTTTTGCAATGAAGGCAAACCTAACATCCTTTGGCTATTTGCAACTTCGAAAATCTTGAAAATTTTTGCAGAATAAAATAAAATCACTACAATCGAATAAGCGAGGTTAAAGTTTTGACTGTTTTAAGTTTTGATCTAGGTAGGTCTAGATCGTGGATGTGTCAAAGTGATCCACCTAGTTTGGGTGCAGATCGCTTGGTACCACCGCGATCCACTTCGAATTGGCGCACTCTGCATCTCTTGACAGCGATCCACGTCCACCGTTGATTGCCCCGTCCTGCAGCGAACCACTAACTGATTCCACGCTATAAAATTTTGAGATTTTTTATTATGGTCAAGATATTTTTTTTTTAACCCTAGCATTCTGAGATTTTTTCCATTATATATCCACACACACTGTCTAGCTTGAGATAAACAACTAACAACACAATGGTGAAAGGAGCACTTCTACTATACTATAAAGTATTAGTGCTTTAATGTATAACTTAAAGTTGTACCATAGTGTTAAATGTATAATTTCAGGTTGTACCATAAAGGAATTTGTGCTCTTATGTTATGGTACAACTTTATAACTTAAACTTGTACCATCAAATGAAAGTACAAGTTTAAGTTGTACCATAAAACAATTTGACAAAAGAGTATAGGTACAATATGAAGTTGTACCATAAAGAGAAAAAACCTATAACACTCATACTATATAGCATTGTAAAATTCCTCTGGTGAAAAATAAAATGAGATTACATCACATCAACATGAACACGATATAGTATTACCTCATCGTGATCACTACGACCTTGCTTGCTTGTGGTCTCCTCGCAGATGCATATGCAGCAGCAACAGCAGAAGCACGAAATCAGCCTATCAAACACAAAGCGTACATACCAGTTGTTCAATATCTTCGCGAATTATAAGCGATACTTATGACTTTGGGAAGCAATCAATATATAATATAGCACCTACCCAGAAAAGAAAGTGGGTTTGCGGTTTTGGACCTGAACCTGCGTTGTCATTAGCATCTTCCATGGTTCCTGAAAAAAAAAAAAAAAAACAATATCTCGACTTCCAAAGGTTTCGGAAGAAGAAAAATAAGCGAGATTTGATCGACCAAGTTTCCTACGGATTAGGGAATAATTGGGAAGGGAAGATGATTAGATGAATTAGTGATTTGAACTTCCTTGGGTTTACTGATTAGAGATGGGAGATTTTGGATCAGAAGTTGAGGAAGAAGATATAAGTGGCGGCGGCAACACTAAGGGAAGAGAGAGGTGATTTGGGAAATGATTATTCTGATAAAATTTCATGGGCTACTCCTACTTACATAATATATTTAGGCAATTCCTACAGTAACTTGGGTATAATTTCAAGTTAGATAATTTGTATAGATCTAGACCGTTAAAATCGATCAAACTTAATGTAAACCATTAATTAAAGAAATAAAAAAAATAAGTAAATAAACAACGGCAACAAGGGTTGCCAGTCACCACATCCTCAATTTACCTATTTTATTTTTTTCTTTCCTTTTTCACATTTGGTTGGTTTCCTTATTCTATCCTTTCCTTTTTTTAATTCTTATGGAATTAGAAGCGTTACGTAAGACTTCCGTAATAACTTAGCTCTTTACGTAACAAGACGTTAATATTCATTACATAAAGAGACCTTCCATTACGTAAGGCTTCCGTAATTATATTTTACAACCGTTACATAAAATACACATTCATTACGTAAAAGTTACGAAACCATAGTTATTTCTTACGTAACGGTTAAATCAGAAGTGTTACGTAAGGCTTCCGTAATGACTTAGCACTTTACGTAACACGAGGTTAATACTCATTACGTAAAAAGACCTTCCATTACGTAAAGATTACGGAACGACAGTTATTTCTTACGTAACAGTTAAATCAGTAGTGTTACCTAAGACTTCCGTAATGACTTAGCATTTGACGTAACACGAAATTAATATCCATTACGTAAAGACACATTCTATTACGTAAGGCTTCCGTAATGATATTTTACAACGGTTACGTAAGATTACCATATGTTACGTAACCATTACGTAATGCCTATTGTATTTTAGGTAATGCGACCTGTGAAACCTGCTATAGCAGGTAAAAAAATTCAAGTTACCTTACTTCAAGTTATTGTAGGAAATCTCAATATATTTATATTCCGATAATTTTCATATAATTACCCATACTTCTTCTCAAATAATCAATTAACCAATGGACGAAACTTAGCTGCAACCTGGGGTGCAACCAGAGCAGATTCAGTCAATAATCTTGTAGTGCTATAAGCCTATAACCTTATACATAACCCAATAATAATTCGTCACATCAGCTCCTCCTTCTTTCCCATGAAAAAACATTTAATTTTTCTTCTCTTAATCTTTAATGGACCATTTTTCACTCGTTTTAAGTCGGAATTTAAATTTTTGTGCACAGTTAGATCATATTAATTGTGCTCTTCGAAATGATATCAACTTCCATATTTTTTGGAACAAAAAGAAAATTTGTCAATTATTACCAGTCTATACCATATAGTATTGACTGTAGCATATGGTATTGACTGGTATTAAATAAGAGCATACCATACGGTATGAAAAATACCACCCCATACCAGGGTGGTATAGTACGGTATGGAGTTGGTAACGAGAGTTATGAAATTTTTCACCCAGAAAATTTTGAAATCGAATAGATCATGATCAAAACGTTGTTTCCGTGCTAAAATTTCCGAAAACGACAAAAAAACGAAGGAGATACCATATGGTATAGAGTTGGTAAAGAGAGGTATTAAATTTTTTTCTCAAAAAATATTGAAAATGGATATCATTTTCTAGAGCACAACGAACTCGTTCCATCTGTGGAAAAAAAATTGAAAGTCCGAGTTAGATTGAAGAAGATATGATACAATCAATAAAACTAGGGGAAATAAATTCCTTTAATTCTCAACTCTTAGGTCTGCAGCCACTTAAAAGAAGGGTTCAGCTTTAGTTAATCATAATTATGCACCCTATCTTGAGTCGGTGCAGCCAACCGTGCAGTCGAGCCACTTGTCATCATCTAATTAGTTATTTTTCTCAATTTATAAATGCTTTCGTTATTATTTTAGAGAATGAAGATAGTAGCTGACGGAGATATTGACGGCCGGAATTCTCCCTCTTTCTTGACCAACACCTTTTTTTGTATGCGTATTCGCTCCTTTTCTTTACAATCATTCTTTATTATATGATAATAACGTTCATTATTTATAAACTAGTTGTTAATTAGTTCTTTGCCTTTTCTTTTCAACTCTCTACGGTCTATGTTATCTATCTATATTTATCTATCTATCTATCTACCTATCTATATCTATCTATCTATATCTATACTATATATTATGGCAATTCAAAAGTAACTTTTTGTCACATAAGCACTTGGAGAATTCACAAGTTGCAAAGGTGAACAACCTATTTTGCAAACAAAAAATTCATTATTGATCTATTTATGTAGTTATCTCTCTCTTCTTTTAATATTTCTATTCATTTTTACTAAAAATTATTAATAAATGACCTTTTTATGAAAACGTAAACAAACACACAAAAGTATAATATTTTTGTCAATTAAAAAAATATATCGAATTTGTTTAAATAAAAAGTATATGATTAAATCTTATCAGGTAAATTTTCTTACTCATTTTCACCAAAACTTAATAATAAGTTACATTTTGACAAAAAATTAAAAAAGTGCAGATATATAATAATATTTGTATCAATTAAACAAAATATTAAATAGAAATATTGAAAATAAATGATTAAAAAAGTACACATATTTAATAATATTTGTATCA